ATAGAGAAATGTCAGTGTTTATACCTATGAGAAACAAATGTTTGAATTAGTTATACACTACATCTGTTTGTTTTGCTTTAAGAATAATGTTTTTTTTTTTTTCTGATCTGGAAATATGAGGTACGTTACGGCAGCCACAAAGGCAACAGCAAAGTATTTCATGGAACTGTGAAAAAAGGACGAACCAATTTTAGGTTTAACGAATAACAAAACATTACCATAAGAATTTTATTGATTTTCAAGTAAAGCACTGTATTAAAAAAAAATCTAAACCAATTCTATTAACATTTTTCCAATTAATGTCTCACTCTCTTATTTTCTCAACAGAGTGGTCTGTATTTCCTCTTGTCATGTAGAAGGTTCTGGTTGCCAGTCAACCCAGGTCTCAATCACACAAGACATTTCAAGAAAAATAGCAAACTATAGCCATACCAAAATGTATTTTAACGTAAAGTGAGCAAAAAGCCTGAAGTGAAACTAAGTGATAGCTAATTAGAGCTGAACTAAAGTTTAGTGCAGAACAAACCAGGTGGAGCGGAAAAAAAACAACAACTTTGGTTTCAGCGTCTCCACTGCTGTGACAAATGTCCAAAAAAACAAAAACAAAACATATATCCTAAGGTTTCGGAGGAGAAAGTGTCTTCGTGCAGTGAGTTAAAGCTTTCTAACGTCTGTATCAGACGGAACATTTTGCTGCAGCATGGTGTGTTCTGCTCCATTAGGCTCTGCAGTAAAATAAACCTGACAGTTGTGCTGTGTTGTTGCTGATTTGTCTTCATGGGACACACACACACACGCTCCTGCTGTGATTACTGTGTTTAACTTACCTGAAGATAACATGCAGCTTCCGTTGCAGTGACAGCAGTTAGTGAATTTATTATGTGCAGGTAAAATGGAGCAACAAAAACAGTGCTTAGTGTCAATCTGTTGTGTATCTGCCCCCGGCTACACCGTCACTGTGGACACCTCCCACCTCCCACCCCCCCACCCCCAGGGTTCTGCCTGCAGGATTTTCTCTTTAACAAAGGCTGGTGTTGTCTCTCCAGTCTGTAAGACGGTATGTCAGTCTATGACAGAGACTGTTGGACAGAGTATAAGTCTCAAGTTATGAGGTGATAAAACAACATCCAAACACCTGCAGGAATTATGGACCAATAATGTCACTACATAACAGTAACCCTCAAATACGCTTTGTTTGGTTTTAAAATTATATGATCATAATATATATAGTATGGTATACAATATAATATAGTATTTGTTTTGGGAGGGGATATCTGGGTACCACATGATTTCATTCCATTACTACTATTTATTACATTATTATTATTTAGTATTTTTGAAGAGCAGTGTTTAAACACAGTAAATAAATAACCTTTTTTTTTATTTGTACCATAAAACTGAATTGATGCAAATGGAGCAACATATCCCTCTTAGTAAGAACCACAGATGGCTGGTCACTACTTTTTCATGTCCAACACAAATATTGATACTGCAACTTGGAGTATCTGCCGATTCCGGTACCTGCTTTTCTCCTCCATCATGTTGCAGGCTATAGTTTTTGAGGCAGTGTCCCTGTTTCTGACATGTTTCGCAAAGTTAAGTTAAGCAGTTGGGCTCAGGTATCAGATCGTACAGACTAGTGTTGTTTTTTTTTTTAATGTTCCATCCTGAAATTTTAACCAATATAGGACCGATACCAATCGTGAGTATCAGATCGAACCATCTCTAGTATGAACAACACAAAGAGAATGACAACACATCTTTTGTTTCTGAATATGAAAACATAAAACTACTATTGTTTGCAAAAATATATATAGTCAAATCTATGACAAAGGGCACAGAATTCCCCTGAAAAAGTTTGTCTAAGGAAGTTCGCTTGAAACGAGAGAGTGCTAATTATACCATTCTTCTAATAAATGTAAATGTAGGGGATCAGAGACAGAGAAGTAGAGGAGGGCGTTTGGTTAGGAGAAAAATAGAAAATATGAATAGAAGTGTTAGTCTGAAGTTTGGAACTCTGAATGTAGGTACAATGACAGGGAAAAGTAGAGAAATAGCTGATGTGATGGAGAGAAGAAGAGTAGATATTTTGTGTGTGCAGGAGACCTTGGAGAAGGGAAGTAAGGCTAGAAACATTGGAGGAGGCTACAAACTGTTCTATCATGGTTCAGATGGGAAGAGAAATGGAGTAGGGGTGATCCTAAAGGAAGAATATGTAAGAAATGTGGTAGAGGTGAAAAGAGAGTCAGACAGGTTGATGTGTGTGAAGGTAGAAGTAGAAGGAGAGATGATTAATGTTGTTAGTGGTTATGCCCCACAGGTGAGCTGTGAGTTGGAAGAAAAGGAGAAGTTCTGAAAGGAGCTAGATTGGATGGTAGAGAGTATCCCCAGGAGAGAGAGACTGGTGATTGGAGCAGACCTAAATGGTCATGTAGGGGAAGGGAACAGAGGAGATGAGGAAGTGATAGGCAGGTTTGGTGTTAGGGAGAGAAACGTAGAAGGACAGGCAGTGGTAGATTTTGCAAAGAGAATGGAAATGGCTGTGGTAAACACATATTTCCAAAAGAAAGAGGAACATAGGGTGACAGGTGGAGGCAGGTCCACACAGATAGATTATATTCTATGCAGAAGATGTAATCTCAGGGAGATTAGAGACTGTAAGGTGGTGGCAGGTGAAAGTGTAGCCAAACAACACCGGATGATAGTGTGCAAAATGACGATGGAAGTGACAAAAAGGAAGAGAGTGAAGACAGAGCAGAAGATCAAGTGGTGGAAACTAA